AATAAATTCAACTGGCTGAGCAATTTCCACTGAGTACAGTTGAATGGCAGTATGCGGGCTTCATAAAGTTATTTGGTAACTACTTGAAAAAGAATGAGAATCCATTAAAAACTTCAGACTATGCAAACTCATTTAAGTTTGCAAATTATATTCAGAAGAGAAGTTGAAGGTGCTTATCTTAATCATCCCAAAAATGCATAGTATATTAATTGAGTAATAGCTGCATAAGGATAACTTTGGACATTTCTTCTTAAAGGGTACTTAATTTATTCAACAGTAAATATACAATATGTATAATTTCAACAAACTTGGAAATAAATATATTAGAATATATTTATCAATTAGAAATATGAGCCAGTTATTTCTACCATCTTTTTCATAGTTTCTGTTACCTGTTGACTTACCTTCACTAAAGGGAAGTAGTCACAAGGTCTAATGGGAGAAGAGGAACAAGTCACTGTGTGGTTTCCATTTTCTGCCTAATCAAAACACTTAACCAAGCTCTCTCCTTTTCTTTCCTCCAGGTCCCACCTAAGTCCTCTGTTCAGAGTTCTTTATTTTAGTCCTGTTCTCGGGAGAAACATGAATTCCTAAATCTCGACATGGTCTTACTATTTTTCCTCCATAGGTATCTTTCCAAGACTCCATAATAGCCAAAAGCCAGGCAAATGGCTTACCTTCCAACCCTATATGCTCAGGATACCCTGTGAGCTCAGCTGGGTTCCTTGGGAACCTCAGGGGTGTTTGACTAGAATCAGACCTGCATAAGCTGCCTGTGCTCAATCCCACCCCATATACATTTGTTACTTTAATTGTGCTTATCTCCTCCAGGGGTGGAGAAATATGCCAAAGTCCACAGTCAAGTAACAATAAAGGCACAATTCCCTAGAGGCTTAAAAAAAGATGTCATTTCTTGCCTCAGGATGGCTGTCCATCTGCCCCTCTGATGTAGAGTATCTGTGTCCTTCAAGGAAATAAGAAAGGTCTGGTTTCTTCTACAGGGTCACAAGCCCCACGTTACTGGGTTACAAGCTACTGACTGCCTTTGCTAACATGCTGAAAATGTCATTTGCTGTCTTTAATAAAAAAGGATGTGTGTAAGGGAAGACATCAGCCCTTGTGGTTGGGTTTCTGTTCTCCAGCCCATGAGTTCTGACTGGCAGAGAGCAATGCCCCCGGGATGTAAATAGACACCAGTTACCTGGACTTCCTACATTTCTGTTACATAGCTGGGTCAACTTTAAGTCTGTTTAAAAACCTTTATATGCTCTTAATTTGGTTATAAAGGCTTTTTATTCCCTCTTCTTCTGTCATTTGCCACTTCTGTTAATAAAGTTTCATTTGCATATTTACTACCTTAAATCATTGTGTGGTTAACAGAAGAATTCTGCTTTATAGAAGGATAGACATTTAATTTGACCTTCCTTGTCCTATAGGAACATTATTCTTCTATAGGAAACATATCTCAAAAAGTTGTGAAATTATAAGATCCAAGAACAGAAAATGACCTCTAGAACAGTACTTCTCAAATTGTAATGAGCATACCAAGCACCTAGGGATGTTATTAAAAATTCAGATTCTGACTCAATAGTTGGTGCCTGAACTTCTGCATTTCTACCAAGTTCCCAGTTGTTACCGATGCAGCTCCCTGAAGAAAGATTTGTGTAGCAGGGCCAGAAGATCCGAAGGCATTCAGCCCAGTGGTCATCTAGAAAACTACTCCCAGTCACTGCTGTGGAGGGGAGACATCACAGGCTTGCAAGATAAAACCCTTTTCTTCCAAGAGAGAAAGCAACCCTACAAATGAAGTAGTCTATGTCTAGTTTTATTCATAAAATTTCAACAAACACATTAAGTTGTTTATGTCAAAATAACTATTGATACTTTCCAAGCAGGTACCTACAGCAATGAGAGGTACTACTTTTGTCCCGTTTGAGCACACCAGTATATGAATTTCACCCATTTCCATTCACTCAAATAGAAAGCTCTATGTGATGGTTTAGGAGTATTACATAATATATATGTGTAGGTCTTTAAAATAAAAAAAATTGGGTTTATCTTAGTAAGATAGACACATTCAAGCCAAAATGTTACATCTGAAATTTATAGCTGCTTAAAAATATTGAATGATGCTCTTCAATATGCACATTTTTAGTTTTTGCTTGGGTTTTTATTTTTTAGGGAACATAATTATTGAGTATATATGAGATTCCACAAGATCTGTTATCCCACATGAACTTCATAATGTCAATTTTTAAAATTATTTTTAATGAGTAACACATGAGCATGGATAATGATTAAAAGTAATTGCAAAAACACCATTATAATTAGCATTCAGAATTCATTTTGATAAAACATTTAACTTTAAAATTGTGTTTTCGTAGAGTAATATTCTTTTTATTCACCATTTGATGGCAGGGAGGCTGCTCCGCAGTATTGCAAAGTCAGGAGAAACTCAGGCTGCAATTTAGTAACAACAATCAAGCCCATTTCTGTGGCTTGCTGTACTTCACCACCTATTTTCATTCATCTCTTACGGGTTTAAACTAAGACCACGAAGCTAGAAAAGGTAGAACCAGTTCATAAATTCTCAGTGCTTGGGTGTGCTGGTCACTCAGGCACATTGACAAGGAGACTCTGTTTCACGTTTTTGAGGTGAGGAGATGGAGAGAAAAGAACAGGAAAAAGACCAGGATTTTGTATTGTATATACAACAGCAGCCCTGTGAAGCAAATACTTTCATCTAACCGTTTCTGGAAGAAACTGAGGACTCAGCTTGTCCAAGGGCACTGGGGCAGAGCTGGTACTGGAACCTAGGCAGTGTGACTCTGTAAGTTCCGAGTGTTCTTAATAAATTCCTGGAGTTGCAATTATGGATAGTTATACACACTTTGATGACTAAAGTAATTCAAGAAGTAACGACTGTCCTGCAGAGCCATCTGGTTTCCCTCAGCCCTGTTACTGGGCGTCTTCTGTTTCTGGTTAGTAAGGAAGGGTCTTCAACTACAGTTCTCCCTCCCCATTTCCTCTCTTCCTACTCAGGGTAGCAGGAAGTCTGAACATTTTATCTACTTAGCATCTCTAGTAATGCAAGCTGTGAGACACTTCATTATCAAGTTAGTAGCTGTTTATTGACAGTTCTAAGCTCTGTGAGGGGACATAATTCAGAAATGTGTCCAGGCATCAAGAAACTCGAGATGATAAGTGGGGGTGGGGTATGGTAACAATGTTCTTTTAGGAAGACGAGTAGGTGGTGTTATTTTAGGTTTCCAATGGGGAGCTATGCACTGCACATGTAATTTAGAGCTATGTTTATTTGGACTGGCGTTTAAAATTAGAAATTGACCATCTGTATTTTTCTTGATAAGTATAGAGTCATCCTAACCAAAAGGCTTTTGGAGGTCAGGAATAGCTTATATTTGCAACATTATTTTTGTAAAAGAAAAAGAAGGATGTAACAAAGTTGGAAAATAATGTCCAGTAGTTGAAGACTTTAGAGAATTTTGGTATACATCCAGAGATATATTTTGTAGCCATAGAAAAAAAATTAGAAAGGAGAAAATGAGACAAGGAAAAGTGAGCTTGACATTAGTAGTGTCTATTATGTACATGTACGGGGCTGTATTTGTTCATTTCTCATTTTATCTTTCTAACAAATGTGCACAAAAGTTGATATTATTTTAATGTTTCATAAATGAAAGAACTGCATGTCTGGGAACCTCACTGAGGTCTCTGTGGTTGAGCAGGAACTCAAATTCAGAGCTCTTAAAATCTAAATCTGATCATCTTTCCCCAGTAGATTTATTCTGAGCTATTCAGCCCTCTCTCCAGCATTGTTTTTGGTTCAGAAATAATTGTTTTTACAGTAAAGAGTAGAGTCACATGAATTCAGCTGAAAAATGCATGCATTATGAAATTACTAAATTGTAAAAATAATAATGAATTATTTTAGGCTATACCACAAGAGTTTCCAGGACAGTAGTTGACGCCATACATAAAATGAAAACATAATCTGAGCCTAAACACTTAGTTTTATCTGATACTTAAAATATGCATTTGTTTAACTGCCAAAATATTATTGTTCTCTGTTAGCCAGAAAGATCCAGGGACACGAGCAAAACAGCCTTTATTCATGGGTAACAAATCCTCTAGGATGGACTTTTGTTGTTAAAAGTCTGAGAATTTTAAGATGAAAACCCTTATATTAAACTAGTGGTACATAACTCATAACTCTTCTTAACTTTGCTTTTCACATAACTTTGTATTACAGTTATCACACATTACAGAAATTCTATGTTTAAGAATACTTAACTACTTTTAAACAAATAATACAAAACTTTTCTTATAAGGTTACATTTCTCTGTATCATATTTTACATTTTGATGGATTTTTACCTTGCTATTCTTATAGTAAATACCATTAGAAGTTCAAAAATTGTTTCATTCAAAAATAAGGACTTTAGTGGTTGCATTTGTATATTTTTGCAGGGTTTTTACCCTGGCAACATCAGTAAAATTTTATAAGATATTTTACTTATTTGTGTTTGCATAAATGGCCTGGAATATTGCTAAGGAGAGGAAACAAAGAGGACGGACATAGATTTGTCAACTTTTTCCCACTTAATTTTTTGTTTCTTGGCACTGAGTTGAAATAAAGTGTAACTCTTTCCATTTGAAATTGCTTCACTTTTTTTCTCAGAAAAATACGGTCTGAGAGGGTTATTAGGTCTTCATTTATAATCTGTGCTTTCTCATTAAAGAAGAAAATGTTTCTCAATCACCCTCCCTTCTTTAAAACATAAAGTACACAGCAGCTGTTGGAAAACTCTTTTTCCTTCCTAGTTATCTTTGTCTATTTGTATAAATTGTCCAGTTGCTTGCATAAAATGCCTACCAAGACATAAGGGAATCATTTACATAAGTGGATGAAGGGTTTTGTCTTCCATGAAGAAAAGCCTGAGGTGGCCTCTTAACCACTTCCCTCCCTCTCTCTGGTTCCAGTATCCAGCCGCGCTGATGAACCTGGGGGCCATTCTGCACCTCAACGGCCGCCTGCAGAAGGCCGAGGCCAACTACCTGCGGGCGCTGCGGCTCAAGCCCGATGACGTCATCACGCAGTCCAACCTCCGCAAACTGTGGAATATCATGGAGAAGCAAGGCTTAAAGACTTCCAAGACCTGACCCGGGAGGCCGGTACCCCATCCTCCTCCGCAGTGTAAAGCTTGGCTGCATAATGACCAGAACGTGCCAGCAGTGCTATGACAAGAGCTAATTTGGACTTCAGCACTGGGGCAGGGGCCCCCGAGGTCGCTTACCACTCTGGGAGAATCCACTCTACTGTTGGCACAGCCATTAACACCAAAAAGGGGCACATTGGAAACCCCCTGAAGGATATAGTTGTTACCCATAGAACTGTAAACCAGAGCACTTAAAACAGGATCTTTGGGCTTTCTTAGTGGGGAGGGGAGCCTGACTTAAAATTCTGTTCTCTTTTTGAAAGCATTTTAGAAATTATATTATTCCTTAAACACTGTGAGAGGAAGTCAGAGTGTCTATTCAGCCCCGTAAACTATTAGGGACAAGTGTTAATATGAGTGAGTAAAGTGTAGTGTGAATCCCAGTGAGCTGGCTGGTTGTCCTGACGCTGCTGTCTCCCTCTTTGGGACAGCCTGCTTATCAGTTTCTGCAACTTAGAAAACTTTTTTTTTTTAATACCATGTCAGGATCTGTCAGAATCTACAGTCATTTCCTGACTCATACACTTGATGTTTTATCATTTGGATGTCAGTCTTCACTCCCTTTGGACATTTGCGTTTCGTATTCTGAAAAGGACATACAGAGCAGAGCTGACGCGGTTCATGCTGACGTAGGAGGAGTAAGGGTGACCTCATGCATGTCAGGCAGGCAGTTTTAGTTTTAATGTCACCAACATTTTCCCCCAAACTGCCTAGGAGAAGTCTTTGTATTAATTCTTCAGCTTTTGAAATTGCCTTGAAATGGTTAATGCACATGCTCCTGTAAGGATGAAATCAAAACAGAAGCTTGAAAGGGTTCCAGTCCCAATAAGTAACCAGCAGCTATTAGACAACAGGGAAGGTTGTGCTTCCCAGATGTTACTGGTTAAATTAAGTCTGAGTAAAGGAGTGTATAATGATGGTTGCTAATGATTTTATATTTTGGAAAGCATTGGTAGGAAATGCTAATCACTTTCTAATAGGTTCCTAAACAGCAATGCTGATAAGTTTTTAAGGCATTGTTTTTATCATATTTTGTTCTTCCCTAAAAGACATAAAAAATAGCTTATTTTAAACTGCAGTAAAGTGTAGCATTAGCCTGCATGTTTCTAGCAAGTGCCTGCTAGGTCGTCTAGCAAGTGCTTTTCACAAATTAAAAACTTTCTCGCTGGCAAATTAGGTATTTTATTTCATTACCTGTTAGTTACCATTTCAGTAATCATTTCTCAAGTAAAAGAATATATATCAATGTAGTAGAGAAAAACACTTATTGAACATTGTTTAATTTGCAGTTGAACTTTGCTACTAAAAATTAACTCTGTGAAACAATAGTCCACTTTCAACTTCTTCATAAAGAAAGTAGCTATACAACACCCTACGTATTTATTTATTTATTATTCTACCATAGCAAAGTAACAAAACTTGATTCATTAAGCCAGTTCTTTGCAAAGAAAATTTAGCTTTTTCTCCTTTCCTTTCACACTCCATGTATATATGGTTAGCTTCCCCATTAATGGGAAGCTGGACATGCAAACACATCATATTATGTTTTCTCCATATTTAATGTTTTGCTGCATATCTGAATAAAGTGGGATAAAGAATTCAAAGTATTGTTCCTAGGACATTAGTGTTTTTGTGAGAAGGGCAAATATAATGAGAGAGATTTGTTGATGGCATTAATAAGAAGGCCCTCCTAATATGTGCATTATTTAGTGAACATTTCACCAAAGGGCCAAAAGTCAAATTATAACTAAATCACTGTGTCTTCAGAATGGTATTTAACATTTCAGAACAACAAACCCATGGGCAAACCAAAAGCACGGGTTGAAATGTATTTCTTACCTTCTAGTACATTGGCAATTGCAAAAAAGTAAATAAGTAAATGAATAAATAAATAAGGGATTTAATATAAGGATATAGAGATGAATTCAGTGTCTAACATTTCTATTTATTTAAATAGTTATTGACCTATGACGATTTGCTTGTCTTTAACATTTTATGTCTTTATTGTTATTGTTCCTTTTAAACACTTGGTTCTTAATAGGTTCGCTGATTGCACAGTAGAGGCACTTCCTGTTGACCCAGTTCCCAGGTAGCTTTAATAATTGGTCCTGTGTCATAAAATGCATGGATCTTTAATAACTAAATGTCCCTGACACCTTTCACTACAGGGCTGGGCTTAGTAACTGACCATCGAGGTGGGTGGGCTGGGAGGGCTAGAGAACATGGTCAAAAAAATGTCTCCGCTCAGGGATTTATGGTGGATTATTTGCAGACAGTGCTAAAAATATAGAGCACAAGACAAGTTTACTAAATTAAAATTTTATTTTTTGAGATGCTGTTATTTGTATAAATTATCAAGATTTGTAGGCTTTCCTTTTGTAGAAATAATTGTTTTATGTGCCAGAGAATTTCAATTTTGTTTTCAACAATAAAGCATTGATAACAAATATGTTGTATAAGCCGTTTTTAAATCTTCTGCAGCAACAGCACATGGTTTTGGATTTTTAACAGAACCAGGGGGAAGTTTTTAAAAGGTAGAGATTGAGAGTCAACTAGAGACACTTCACAGCTAATGTATAATCAATAATATGTAATCGTTAATTTTTAGTAGTTACAATAATATTAAGGGTTGCTAATAACAAAAGGTTTTCCATGTTCTGAAAAGATGGCATAGTTTTTACTTTGTTTTTTTTTTAAATGATGAACTATGGAAAATATCCCAAGCAACACGAGCTCCCTGAATAAAAATTCATAGGTCATTTGGTAGAAATGGCCATATTTAGAAGACCCTGATTCTCCGTATCTGTTTCCAGAGAAACACAGGTTTTGTTCTGCTGAGAGACCTATGCACGTTCAGGAATCAGTGATAAGGGAACCTTGGGTCTTAGACAAGGTGCAAGCTGATAGAGGATTCAATAGACTTGTTAAAATTGTTATCTAATAAATTATATATTGCCTAATTTATTACAGGAGAAAATTTGGCTATAAGGATTTTATTTTATGTTAAACATCCTGTGGATATGTGAGGTTATGCTCCAGTTCATGGTTAAAGAAACCAGGTTCAGTGATAGGAAGGAACCTGTCTAGGTCACAAAGCTAGCAGGCCTGTCCCATGTCCTGTGAGCTCACAGCACTGAACCTGAGTCTGGGGCTGGGGTTTCTCATTCCTCTTGGCATTTCTCTGGCTATTCCTTCTTCCACAGGCCCATTCTCTGCCTCATTCACTGCAGATGATCATGAAGATTAGAGCAAGTGCTATGGTGAATGTTTATGTCCCTCTCCTCCCCAGATGTACTATGCTGAAGACCTAGTGCCCATGGATGATACTAATAGGACATGGAAAAATAAGAGCGTGATTAGGTCATGAGGGCAGAGCCCTCATAGGTGGGATTAAGCCCTTATAAATGAGGCTCCAGAGAGCTCCCAGCCCTTGTACTACAGGAGGACATGATGAAAATTCAACCCAGAGGGGGCTCTCCCTTGGCCATGTTGGCCCCCTAATCTAGCCGGTGGTATTTTGTTACACAGCCTAAACAAAGGCAGAGGAAAAGGCAATGCTGAGAAGCGTCTTAAACATTTAGATTGTGAGAACTGAAAAAGGTTTCAGAAAATGTAGCCAAACCCATTTACTTTCTGCCAGAGGACAGAAGGCCCCGGGTTAAGTGACACCAAAGCTAGCTCGTGGCAGCTCCACAGTAGGCCACAGAAATGTCAGCTATTAGGAAGTCTTCCTATTTGTAGCTCTTTTTTAAAGGTACAGTTTTAACTTGGATTGAAGCGCTATGAAACCAGTGAAAGTAGGGGGCCGCACCTTTCTTTTTCAGCATTGTTTCTCCAGCCTGACACATTATTGAGTAGAAGAATGTAAATTATAAATGAAAATGACACTTATTATTTGCTCATTATCACCTTGATATTTTTTCTCTACTCAGGGTAGAGCAAGAATGCAGTCCCCTACTACTAAATTACGCAGTCAAGTTCCACACATTTGGGGAAAATGCAGGGGCCAGCGTATCCCCAGGGCAACGGACAAGCCTCACCCTGGGAAAACCACCTTCGTGATCAAGGAATTCCCCCTGCCACATAATTAGCTTGGTATTTTTAAAAATCACTCTTTAAAAAGTTGAGATTTGGTGACTGAGTGACTCTTCTCCTTTGATATTTTCACCACAGTGATGGCACTGTAACACAGCATATGTTCCAATTCAAAGAAATGCATCTAAGTCTTAGTTAATTTTTCTATTACAAGGGGGAAAAAGTGGGTTTCTGTGCATAATTTAAGAATGATAACAATTGTAATTCAATTGTATGTACCTTTGGAATACGAACTTTCATTAAATTTAAATATTTTTTTCAATGCTAGAGAATTTGCCGCCTACTCTTTAAAACTCAACTCAGCTTAATGAAGGGGTATTGGCTTAAGCATGGAAACTGCCACATGCTATAAAGGGAGAACAAGCTGAAATGACAGTGCAGTTGTGTGGACTCTGATGCTCAGTTTTGCAGTAGAGAAAGATGCATGTAAACCAGGGCTTTAACCTTACATTTTGGGTGGTCTTCCTGCGGGATACAGTCAGAGATATCTTCGAGTTGGCTCTCATTCTGTCTGCCACTGCACCCCTTTTGCTGTTGTTAAGCCATAGAGATTCGGGATATCCCTCCCCACCCCCAGGACTGCTGGAACTGAAGTTCCTTGTTAACTTGAAATTTCTGTGACAAGTTCTTCTTCTGAGTTTCCCAATACATTTCCCTAACTTCTTACAACTGCTCTGATGTTACTGTGTTATTTAATTGTTTATTTCCAAAGACTGGAAAGAAGGGCTTTTGTTTAGCAAGGATATTTTGGATCAACTGAGAAAGTTACAAATATGTGAGACAACTTGATGAGGTCATTTGAAAATGCCTCTAGGAATCTAAGAAGTTACTATAATACCTAAAATGGTATTAGGGGAAAGGTTCGGGAGATCCCCAAAGGGAGAAGACCAGGGTAGAAAGAGAAAGGATAGACACGTGGGGACTGGGCTGTTAATTGCCATTAGTAATGATTAAGCTTCCATTGTAAAAGTAGAGGGTTTGATTAGAACAGTTTGAGACGGTTTCCTTTTTTGGTTGCCCCATAATCTGTATTGTACGCAAAAACAGTGTAACAAATAAGAGAATAGATACTACAGTCACAGGAGAGGCTGGATAAGTGTTCAGCTAATTGAAGGCTAGGCTATCCATTCTTATCTGTAATATATTCAGTTTGTCTCCTACATCCTTTGGATTTCACAGGAAGAATAGTAGCGCCCATTTAAGACAGAGCTATCAACCATTGTCCAGTCAGATGGAGAGAATAGTCCTATATTTCAAGTAATAGCTCAAGACTTGTAGAAAGACCTTTTGTAATAATTTCCCCCCATGTCTCTTTCTTCATCCTAGAAGACTGAAACTGAAGTAATTCCTCTAAGAACATTCTCTTGGCAATATCATTAAGCAGCTAGAGACCATAATGACAATTTTCGAAAATGTATTGGGAATCAAGCAATTCAGTCTGTTTCCAAAATACTGAAAATATCATAAAAGAATACAAATGCCTTTTATTCATCTGCACAATGCTTTTGTATAGTGTGAAAGGTCATTTATTACCAGGAAATCAGAACTGGTGAGGGAGGAGAGAGTATGGACATCGAGGGTGGAAACAAATGATGAGCTTGGATTTTAATGTGGGCCCTTTTTCTAATTTCATTTAGCAGGGAATGACCATATTGCTTCTAATAATAATTAACTTTAATTCTATAGACATCAGTTTATTAAATTGCATAGAGCCAATTAATCTCAGTAAATTTTCATTTTTTTAATTCTTTTTGTGTTACTTTAAATGTCTTGTTATGCTTAATATCTCGATATTTTGTTTCCTTTGCAATGGACTCCTATCACTGTGCCTTTGCCTATACTTAATAACAATTCGGGATATTTCACTGGAATTATGTTTCAAAGTATAGGAATCTGTCCAATGCTACCAAATATTTAGATACTGATACATAATATTTTATTACAAGTTAATTGAATAATTTTGCATTCTATGAACTAGAAGAGTATATCAATGCTATGTTTTATTATATCTCATCAGGTCTAACTCTCCCGGTGAATCCTGTTGACAATATTGATAAAATGTCGCTATAGCAGCAAACTCTGTCTCTTTCTATAAAGTGAAACAAGTAACTTTATTGGTTAATTTGTTACCACTTCTGTTTATAGAACTAATTATTGTATAGGGTTGTATTTATTCCAAAATTTTGCTCTGTGAATGATGCTGAAGATGGCTTAGCATCCTGCTATTTCTTAGGTGGCAGCAAAGTGATACAGAAATCATAACTGTAGCATCAGAGAGCAAGAGAACACATTAGATTGGACGTCTGCACTTCACAAAGGAAGAAACTGTAGTGTGGGAAAGTCAAGTGACATAGCTAAGCCTACACACTCACACTGGATCCAGGGTAAAGGTAAAATGTTGAAGCACAAGCTAGAGATTGTATCTTGTGTGGCCATCCCAACTATCTAGAGCTTGTTTGGAGTAGAGGATAGACATAAAGCTTGCCAGGAAAGATTTGATCGTGGACTCTTCATGGAAAATAGTATCCCTGTGACTCCTATATCACGAAATTCAGTTTGGGTCCCTGGTTTATGACATGAACTCTTCAGTTTAGGATAAACTTATGAATCATACCTGACCAAACACAGCTGGTCTAAGTAAAGGTGGTGAACAGAAGCATTACGGTAGCTTAAACCATTTCCAAAGATTGATTCCTGTCATCTGATGACACTGTTTGGTTTCTTCTAACTTGGCTATGGTAGCTCAGCCACCCACCATTTGCCTATTGCAACAGGTACAATGTGTAAGAACCCAGTAGATATAACCAAATTGGATATGATCTTTAGTGAAGAAATTGGCTAGCTTTTACTTACTTTACCTGGATCTGTTCCGTGGAAATTAAAGGTTTTTGGAGCATACTAGCTAGATAAAACTCTATGGACCAGAGAATAATTGTAAAGTATGAATAGTACATCACTTGCCTATTGCATTATAACAATAGTTAATTTGTTTGCTACAAGTATTTATGATTATTGGCTAATCTATTTGATTCCCCTTCACCAACCTTGTCCATCTTCTCTTTTTTATACACATGCACACATACACACTCACTGTGTGTATTACACGTCCAAACATAAGGATCTATACATTTGATCATCCAGGAAATGAAGTCATTAAAAGGAGTGAGACATAATTTAAAATGTTTTGATTTACAGAGGAAATAAAGTGAAATCAAAGCTTTTGTCCTTAGGTGCATGATTTAAATCCAGACAAGTAAGAGTCAAAAGGAGATGTGGGCAGACATGTCTTATGATATTATTATAAAAACTGCGGCACATCTCTTCTCACGCTCTCCTTTGCCTGTCGCAGTCTAGCTGATGCTGTGATTTATCTGATCTCTCCTTCATGCAGGGCCCTCTCTTGTCCTTATTCTGGAATAGAAAACCCACTCAGATAAAGAGAAGATGTGACAAATGCGGATTTGTAGATATCCATTTCCAGGATAAGAGAAATCACCAAACTAATCTTTAAGTACCTTAGTTTTAAATGTATTTCTTTTTAGACATATTAGCCAAATGATCAAATAATATGGTTTCTCTACTACAGGAAGCAACTCAGTAATTCTGAGTCCTGATGAAAGTGAGTGATGGCTGGAACACCCCAACTGTATCACCTTTCTTTTTAGCTCCACAGGTAACATTGTACCCCAGACATGACAACTCCATTCTACTTGCTCCTTGGAATTTGAGGGCAGTGGTGTCCTTCTCATAAATATAAATCTGAAAGATTTATTCTTCTCTCTCAAGATTTTGTCCCACACACACAAGTAAATTTTTTTGCATGTAGAGCATTTTACAGTTTTGCAAAGACTTCATATATTTTTATTTAGCTCTTGAAAACAATTTGGCAAAGTTGACAAGAGAAACATAATTATCCTCAAATCTAAGCTCCAGATGAGGAAAAAAGAGAAACTTAGAATGGTAACATGACTCACTCAAGATCACATTCAGTAGGAAGGCAGGTCTTTCTCCTTAACTTCAGTCTATACCCTGGGGGCAGGCACTGCTGGGCATGACCACAATCAGTACACCTGGGGCCTCCTGCCCCTTATTCCTTTAGTCTCTGAGGATCCTATAGGACTGAAGAGTGTTCCCATCTGAAAGACCTTCATTCAAAACTGGTGACCTATTCCAACTACATCCCCACATGCTGAAGGGATTGGGGAAAAAAGAAGAGTGTTCCCATCTGAAAGACCTTCATTCAAAACTGGTGACCTATTCCAACTACATCCCCACATGCTGAAGGGATTGGGGAAAAAAGAATCATTCAATTTTAAGAATACACAGGCTTACAAAAATAATGTAGATTTTTGTCCAATCACTTTGTTATCTATCTTTGTCAGTACTGGGGGTTTAGTATTAACTGCTTCTATTTGAAGTATCCCTATTGAACGGTTCTCTTGCAATCCAGGCGTCAGCTGGGCTCAGCCCCATGTTTGGCCGTCCCATCTGCTGGATGGTTGATGTTCCCCAGCTTTGGTGGACATCCGCCTCTCACATCCTGAGGCTCTGAGCCTCCTGTTCTCTTGTGGCCTTTTTGCTGTCATGCTGCCCTTTGCCAGGTGCAGAGCACTGACTTTTCTGATTTCCCCCAAAACTATCTGCACTGGGGTATGGGGCCAGCTCTAAAGGTTTGGGCTGGGAGAGTGGTTTTAACCAACTAACTTAAAATCCAGTATTGAACATCCTTGTTCTTACAAGTCCTCTAGCCACTTGTGACAAGTGGCCTTTTTTGCTGGTCACCTATCTGCACGGGCCTGAGCCACCCCCCCCAGACAATGCTCTCTACTGTGATGACCCCAGCCTCAAAACTCCTGTAGCCTTCATATGCAAAGGCCCCCAGACCTGTCCTACTGTATGGAAAACAGACTATCCAGATGTTTTCCTAGAATAGCATTTTAAAACTGGCAGCCTACCGGCTGATTTAGCCTCCACACGTTTTGAAAAATGTGAATAA